AGGAATGGTTATAATTTTAAGTAGAAAGTCCAAGGAAAGCTTCACTAAGATTAAGTACATGACCTTTGAGGAAAGGACTTGAAAGAGGTGCATAGGTATAGCGGGGAGAGGTGAGGGAGTGAGCTCTGCAGAATATTTCAGGGTAGGAGAATAGCAAGTGCAAGGGCCTTGAAGTGGATGCATGCCTGCTTTTGATCTGAGCGGAGTGGAACAAAACCAGTTTCACTATCACTTTTAAGGCAGCCTCCCTCCCCATCACAAACAACTCTATGTCTTCAGCACCCTTTTCTGACACTCTCTCTCCTCACTACATTCCATCCGCCCTGGTCTTCCAGTCCACCAAAGCTGTTTTTTGCTTTTGTGTGTGCTGTGTCTTGTCGAGAACGCTCTTCTCAAACCCTCATGTCCTTACACAATCTGCAAATTTGGCTCCTTCTCATCAAATTAATTGCAGTTTAAATTTCATCTTATGTCTTTTCTGACCACAGGACATAAAACAGTTCTCTTGTTCTTTCTTTCCAGCGTCAGTTTCGTATTTGCTCCCTACATGCCATCTACCACACCATGCAATTGAGATTCATATATATATAATGTATATTTAAGTATCAATTATGTATTATGTACATACATAATATATGTGTGTGTGTGTGTGTGTGTGTGTATGTACACTTAGAACTCAATAGGTAAATGGTACCTCCATATCATTTAAATGTATTTGGTCACTAGTGAAGATTAAGCATTTTCCAAAGTAATGGTTAATTGTGAGCATAAACTCTTTTGTAACATTTGCTCAAACAAACATTCAATTAAAGTCCCTTTTTCTGAAATATGAGAGGACTGGCCAGGCAGAACCTTGTCCTATCCATTTGTCTCAGGGGGATTTAGTTTCCCAACCTCCTGGCCTACGCAGTGACTCATAGTGACTTATTTCTTCACAGGAATCATTCCAAAACCCAAATCAGTTTGGAGGAAAGTGTTTCACTTTGACACCACCAATTTGTGAAAATGGACAAGAAAGCTGCATTTGAGGGGTGCCAGGTATCATCATTATAAAGTAGATATAGTTATTAATACCCACCTAATTGCGCAATACAATGTAAAACGACCCTAGGGGAAGCTAAAGCCCTAGTGCAAGCTCTGTCTCTCACCGGCACCCCGATCTTTTCCAAAGGCCTTTCCGTCCCGAGGCAGGAGGGGACCTAACTGACCACCCGAAGCCGCCCACAATCGAGGCGGGGTGGGCTTTGCTGGCAGGGCCTCGACGGCCCACCAGGTTCTGCAGCCTCCCGCCAGGCCCTCTCTGGGCTCTGCCGAGATAACAACTCCTCTCGCGAGATGACGCGGGCGGCGGCGGGATGTTCGCGGAGCGCTCCAGACCGCGCCCCCTCTGGCGCAGCTGGGAGAGGCGCGGCCGAGGCACGGGCGGGAGCGGCCGGCGGCGCGCACGCGC